AGTGGTTCGTGGAGGGCAGGGTATGGGTTAAACGCAGTTTCGAGGGCGGGGCTAGTGAAGGGGGTTGTTTTTGGTGGGGTGGAATGGGAAGGCGGAGGTTTTTTGCGAGGTTTCTTGTGGATTCCGGCTGGGCTAGGGGGGGGGCTGGCAGGGAGCAGTGGCGGAGCCAGAAATTTCTGTAAGGGGGACAAATGAACATCGCTTGTTTTGACAAAAATGTTGGAACAAACAGATACTTAAATAGTTACAATTTAATGGCTCAAAAAATCCAAAATACGGAGATCTACTTAGTCAAAATACCGATATCATACACCAAATTTTCCTCCATAAACGTATTTGATTATGGATTTAGAATATTTGAAAAATTCGACCATTAAATAATATAAGGAAATTTAGACGTTTACCACCTCCAAATACACACTTATTGACTTTTACCACCTCCATATTTTAAAGTTTTATTTTACCACTAACAAAATTTCTAAAATTTGGATTTCACCACCAACTAACGGATTCCGTCCATAAATCTGTTAGTAGGGCCCGCCTTTTTGACATTTCCTCTTCATCTCCCTGATTCTTCTATGCCAACCTTCGGGAACGAAATCAACCCCTCCCCCCCCCCCCCTTGGTTGGTCGGAATTCGTGTGGGGCTAGGAAGGGGTAAGAATTTGGTGTTGGCTAGGGAGGGGGTTGAAATTTGGTGGTGGCTAATTAAGGTTTTAGGAGTGGTGGCTAAGAGCCGGTCTGACGATGGCTGGGAGTCGGTTGGTGGTTAGGTTGTTTTTTTATAAATTTTTTTATTCTTTTATTTATTATTTTCTATTTTTTTTAATAAATTTTACCCAATAATATGGTGACACATGTACATGATAGGCCCCACTAACGGATATATGGACGGAATCCGTTAGTTGGGGGTGATTGGAGGTAAAAGCTAAATGTCTGCAACAAGAATTGAACTCCGGTACTTGATTAGTTGCTCATCTCAAATACCAAATAGGCGTAAAAGCTTAAATGAACTCACAAGGAGGTTTGATCCCGCGTCCATAAGCTATTACAAGTGATGCTTGACCACTGCACCGTTTGGATTGATATCAATTATTATCCACAAAATTATGTATACATAAACTAATTCTTTTTTAAAAAAAAAAACGTAGGAGACAGTTGTCCCCCCTTGTCCCCACCTAGCTCCGCCTCTGGTAGGGAGGAGAGATTTTTTTTTTTAATTTTGTTTGTTTAAGTATTTTTTTTTAACCATTCACATGGCCACGTGTCAAAGAAACCTGTTATATTAGGTTGATGACCGGTTGAGACTACTAGTGGCAAACTTACCCCGACCCATAATTGAGATTATTAGATAATAAACCTTAATTAGGACTATTAGAAGTAAATCATTTATAACTGGGATTTTTAAAGTGTATTTAAAAACTTTTAATAATCCCAACTATATGTGATTTACTTCTAATAATCTCAAATAAGGTTTATTCTCTAATAATCCACATATGGGGTTAGTTTGCTTCCAAAAGTCCCGGATGACCGATAACCTGATAAGTAGGTTAATTTTTTATTTTTAAATTACAATATAACGCATTTCTATTGGTCTAGAAAAATAGGAAAAAAACTACAAAAATAGAAAAAGAAAAACCCTCTTCCCAGAAACCCTCCTCACCAAAAACCGCCACATTCCGACCCCCTTTCCCTTCCCCACCCTACGATTTCAGTCCACTCTCTTCTTCTTCCCCCGATTTTTGCCCCATTCCCTTCCCCCACCCTCGAATCCATCCCATCCATTTCCTTACCCCCGATTCCGATGAGATTTTTTTCTCTCTCTCTTTATCAGCGGCTAGGAAAGGGTTTCGGACGAGGGAAAGGGTTTCGCATGGGTAAGGGGTGGGAAGGGGGGTGGTTTTGCGAGGAAGCAAGGTGCGAGGGGGTGGTTTCGCGAGGGGGCAAGATGGGAGGGCGGTGGTTTCACGGAGGGCGGGGGTGGGTTAAAGGCGGTTTTGAGGGTGCAGTGGGGGAAGGGAGGGGGCAGTTTTAGGGGTGGGGCTGGTGAAGGGGGTTGTTTTCAGTGTAGTGGTGGTGGAAGGGGAAGGGGGAGGTTTCCGACAGATTCCGATTAGGATAGGGAAAAGAGCGATGGTGGCTGGTGGGGAAGTGAGGGTTTTTTTTTTCAATTTTTTAATTTTTTTTTTTAGTATTTTTATTGAACCACTCACGTGTCAAAGAAACCTATTATTTGATGACCGGTTGAGACTACTAGTGGAAAACTACCCCATAATTGTGATTATTAGATAATAAACCTTAGTTGGGATTTTTAGTTGGGTCAGTTTGCTTCCAAAAGTCCCAGATGACCCTTAATTTTTTTTTAAATTACATATGTCGCATTTCTATCGGTTAAGAAAAAAAAAAGAAAAAAAAAGCCTAAAACAAGAAAAACCCTCTTCCCAGTCACCCTCCTCACCAAAAATCACTACATTCTTACCCCCCTTCCCAACCCCACCCCACAATTCCGGTCCTTTCCCTTATTCTTCCCCCGATTCCGGCCCAATTCCCTTCCCCCATCGAATCCGACCCCATCAATTTCCTTACCCCCGATTTTGATGAGATTTTATTTCTCTCTCTCTTTACAGGCGGCTAAGAAGGGGTTTTCGGACGGGGAAAGGGTTTCACAAGGGAAATGGGTAGGAAGGGGGTGGTTTGGCGAGGGAGCAAGGTGCGAGGGGGTGGTTTCGCGAGGGGGCAAGGTAGGAGGGCGGTGGTTTCGCCGAGGGCATAGAGTGGGTTAAAGGAGATGTCGTGTAATACCCCTGAAATTCGGGTCATTGTAAACAATAAGAGTAACTATTTTCTTTCAAAACCGACCATCGAACCTTGGGAGTGTTACTGCTACACTTATTTTCCATAGAAAATAAATGCAAAGCAAAACGAAATACCATTTATAACTAAGTGATCTAAGTGGCGACAAGAATAAAATAGTCGTTACATCCAAACTGTAAAACATTTAAAACATTAAATAAAAGAAAAATAACTAAGTTCAGAATTAACTAAATTGTCTTAGCTACGTGATTATTCTAACGTCTCCTCACACGTAACTGAGTGCCCTTTTACCAACCTGCAAAATGAAATCAGAAACAAGAAAAGAGAGGAAACTCCCAAAATAAGATAAACTGAGTAATTCCAACTCCATCCCGTAAAATAATAATTTTGGTTCGAAAAATATTTATACAAGACAATTTTATCGACATTATAATAAGTCAAAATCAAGTTGTCACATAAACATTATTACTTTAGTTAAGAAAGGGAAAGAGAACGCCAGTAAGTCGGGACTAGTCCCTGTCACCACCTACTTTACAGAGGGTCGCGCGTAACCCTAAATGGCCATAAATTAAACAGAATGTCCCTAGTGTGCACACCCCTCACTAATACCCATTGATTAGGAGGAAGACTAAACAGCAATATACGTCAATTTAAACCAACTAGTAGCAACCATAACCACTAGTGGGCAACCTGTTCTTCACCCTTTCAGGTTTCATTTCCCTTCTTAATTTAATGTATATATTAATAGATTAAATTGTCCGGCCCGCATTGCACACGAGTATTGCACAAAATCAATTTAATCCCAAGTAACAATATTTTAACTTCAGTATTTTTTAAAACATAGTCAAGACATGCTAGTTACAACTCATTTTCCCAATAGGCCTTGGAGACCATCAATCACATATAATCAATCATCCAATTTCCACGATTTTAATTATATATAAAAAAAAACTCATACGATTCCAAATAATCAAATTTTCGAAAATACCATACTAGTACACAATTATAGAAAAACTAGTATATAATATAATTCCATAACATCATATGAAAACACATCCACCACGTATAATTACGTAAGCACATAGTTGGCACACAATAATTTAAAACAATTTCCTAACGGGATTCTAAAGATGATGGACATTAAAAATTACCTTGAGTTGCGCGTAAATCTCAAGGTAAGTAACCTCTGAAACGTTCACCCAGTAGCCTCCGTCTACAAATAAATAGATAAACGAGGTCTAAGTTAGTAATACTATACACCACTTGCTATTAGATTAGCAATCTGAAAAGAAACAAAATATACTCGAAGTGTAATCATACGAAGTACTAAGGTTTGGTAAAGTTCGGTTTTATAAAAACAAAAAGAAATCCCTAAACCAAAATCGTGACTATATATATTACGAGTAAACAATCTTACTCCTCCCATCATACTGACAAACCCATAAAGCTATTCCTTTCTTCCGATTTTTTTTTAAAAAAAAAACAAAATTCTTATGAAAAACCACTGTAAGTACAAATATATACACTAATTGTATAAAATAAGGAAGCAAAGTCCAATTTTTTTTCTTTTTAAAAGAATCTAACAACGGAGGAACTATCAATTGAAGGTTAAGTCCACCATTGAAGGGACTATCAATTGCTTACCAAGATGGAGATGAGTTTCTGAAATTAAGATGGTGGTGAAAACAATGGTTTTGGGTAGATGCTTTGTGAGTTCAATAAGGTACGGTATTATCAAGAGGTATTTATAAATTAGAAATCTTAGGTTCAAATATTCTAGAAGTTTATTCAAAAGGTCAGATAAAAACTCAATTCAAATTGAGTTTGTTACAAGTTCCTACTAAAAGATAAGCTTAAAATTTATTTATTTTTTTTATCAAAACCAGTTTCTGCGAAATAGGAAACCAGATTTTTTTTTTTTATCCGAAAATAAAAATAATAATTATTAAAAAAAAAAATTTATAAAATTTGAAAATAATTATAAATTTAAACTTTATACTAGAAAAATCGTTGATTAAATATAATAAAAAATTTGGTGTATTACATCTACTTCCCCTAAAAACGAAAGTTCGTCCTCGAACTTTAAAGTTAGCCCTCAAAATTAGGCTCGCACGATGACAAAGCTAAGTTAGTATTGCATTCTACTCCCCTTTAAAAGTTTCGACCTCGAAACTTAGAGTACCTGTTCAAAAAGTTCTGGGTAAGCGCTTTTTCATATCATGCTCGGCTTCCTGAGTTGCTTCTTCAGAATTCTGATTAGACCACAGCACTTTAACTATCTTTACTGCCTTATTCCGAGTGTTTCTCGTTTTGGTATCAAGAATTTTCACTGGGCGCTCTTCGAAGGTTAAGGTCTCATCTAGCTCAATAGTCTCTGGTTGGATAACATGGGTAGGGTCATGAACATACTTTCGGAGTTGTGAAACATGAAAAAACATTGTGAACATTGGCTAACTCCATGGGTAAGGCTAGTTGGTACGCCACCTCTCCAACTCTCTTTAATACTTCATACGGCCCAATGTATCTAGGACTTAGTTTCCCTTTTCTACCAAACCGCATGACTCCTTTAGTAGGTGAAACCTTAAGTAAGGCCTTTTCCCCGACTTCAAATTCCACTATTCTCCTACTCTGGTCTGCATATGACTTTTGTCGATCCTGAGCTGCCTTCATGTTTGCCTGTATGAGCCTAACTTGCTTCGTTGTTTCTTCAATCATTTCTGGCCCCAAAGTCAAAGACTCACTGATATCACTCCAACATAAGGGACTTCTACATTTTCTCCCATACAATGCTTCATAAGGTGCCATTCCTATGCTCGCATGATGACTATTATTATATGAAAATTCGATCATAGGTAACCTTTCGTCCCACGATCCACCAAAGTCCATCACACAAGCCTCAACATGTCCTCCAGGGTCTGAATTGTTCTCTCTGTTTGTCCATCCGTAGCAGGGTGAAATGCTGTGCTAAACTTCAGGATAGTGCCAAATGCTTGCTGAAACATTCCCAAAACTTTGATAAAAATCTGGGATCTCTGTCTGAAATGATATCTTTAGCAACTCCATGTAGTCTCACAATTTCTTTCACATAGGCGTCTGCCAGCTGATTCACATTCTAAGTGTCCTTTATTGCTATGAATCTTGTTGTCTTAGTTAAACGATCAACTATGACCCAAATAGCATTCTTTGCTGCCCTTGAAAGCGGTAATCCCATCACAAAATCCGTAGAGATAGACTCCCACTTCCATCCTGGCACATCTAACGATTGCAGTTTCCCTCCAGGTCTCATATGTTGTATCTTCACTTTCTGACATGTAAGGCACTTGGCCACAAACTCAGCTACTTCACGCTTCATGTTCGGCCCACCAAAAATACTGCTTAAGATCTTTATAGAGCTTATCTCCTCCCGGGTGTACAGAGTACGGGGTGTTGTGAGCTTCTTCTAAGATCTTCCTTTTGAGATCCTCATCTTTAGGAATACACCATCTCCCTTTGTATTTCACTGTTCCACTATCATCAACATCAAACTCAGTTGTTGCTCCTTCTTCTTTCATCTTTCTCACCTTGGTCAACCACTCACCGAGCATTTGCTTCTCACGAATCTCATCATATATGGTAGGTTTGACCGACATTGCATTCAACTGCGCGTTTACCTGGCCATACTCTATCACTTCCAAGTTCAACTTCCTAAATTCTTCACAAAGTTCCTTGGCTAAAAATCATCAAGTTTACTGTATGACTTGTTTTCCTACTCAAAGCATCGGCTACCTTGTTCGCCTTTCCTTCGTGATATAGAATCTCTGGGTTGTAATCGGTTAGAACCTCAAGCCATCTCCTTTGTCTCATGTTCAAATGACTCTGTGTGAATATGTATTTCAGACTTTTATGGTCCGTATACACCTTACATCTCACACCATACAAGTAATGTCTCCAAATCTTAAGAGCAAATACCACAGCTCCCAACTCCAGGTCATGAGTAAGGTAATTCTGTTCATGCTTCTTGAGCTGCCTCGACGCATAAGCTACAACCTTCCCATGTTGCATAAGTACACACCCAAAGCCATTCTTAGATGCGTCACTATACACTTCAAACCCTTCAGTCCCTGATGGTAAGGTTAAGACTGGTGCTGAGGTAAGTCTTCGCTTCAATTCTTGAAAAGATTGCTCACATTTCTCATCCCACTGGAACTTAGTAGTTTTCTTCATCAGAATTTGTTAAGGGTTGTGCTATCCTCGAAAAGTCTTACACGAATCTCCTATAGTATCCAGCAAGCCCTAAGAAACTCCTTACTTCAGTCACACTTGTTGGTCTTGGCCAATCAGAAACAGCCCGGATTTTAGATGGGTCCACCTCAACTCCTTCCCTTGAGATCACATGGCCTAGAAATGCTACCTTCTCTAGCCAAAATTCACATTTTTGAAAATTTGGCATACAACTTCTTTTCTCTAAGAATCTCCAAACACTTTTCTTAGATGTCCTTTATGCTCTTCTCTATCCCTCGAGTACACTAAAATATCATCTATGAATACCACCACAAACTTATCCAGATATTGGCTGAAAAGTTCTATTCATGAGGTCAATAAAAGCTGCCGGCGCATTAGTGAGTCCAAAAGGCATAACGGTGAACTCATAATGTCCGTATTCTCGTGTGAAAGGCTGTCTTTGGTATATCTTCCTCAGCAATCCTCAACTGATGGTATCCGTCCTCAAGTCAATCTTTTGAAAAGATCCCCGCACCTTTAAGCTGATCAAATAAGTCCTCAATCCTGGGCAATGGATATTTGTTCCTTATAGTGACATTATTCAACTCTCGGTAATCAATACACAACCTTAAAGTTCCGTCCTTTTTCCTCACAAACAAAACCGGTGCTCCCCACGGTGAGACACTTGGCCTTATATAGCCCTTCTCCAACAACTCTTCTAATTGTACCTTCAGCTCTTTCATCTCTACTGGTGCCATTCTGTATGGTGCCTTAGAAATAGCTCCAGTCCCAGGCACTAAGTCTATTTTGAAATCCATCTCCCTAATTGGTGGCATCCCTGGGATTTCGTTTGGAAACACATCTTGAAACTCCCTCACCACTGGAATGTGATCTATGGACTTCTCTTCCACACTCACATCTTGCACATGACATAAATATATAGGGTAGCCCTTTCGGATATAAGAATGAAAAGTCATGGCAGACACAATATTAATCCCTGGTTTTTGACACAACTCCCTGGTAAGAGATTCTATTCCCCCTTGGTCCCGTAAGAGACACCTTTTGGGTATGACACTCAATTCTAGCCTTGTACTCGCTAAGCCAATCCATTCCCAATATCACGTCAAATTCAGTTAAGTCAAACTGAATAAGGTTTGCAGGCAACTCAGTTTCAGCAATGTTAATCTGGAATGCCTTGGTATAGGGACTTACAAGGAATTACCTCCCCAGACGGAATTGTTATGTTTGGTTTGACACAAAGATGAAGGTTTTAAAGCATATTTATTCACAAAAGAAGTGGCTATAAAAGAGTGAGATGCCCCAGAATCAAAAAGTAAGTAAGCAGGTTTTGAGTTCACGAGAAAAGTACCCGTCACAACGTTAGCGTTGGAGTCAATCTCGCTCTGGTTCATGACATAGATTCTTCCATTACTGGTCCTACCATTGCCATTGTGGTTGCTTCCTCCGCCATTGTTGTTGTTCTGTCCATTCCCTCCTTGAGCATTGCCATTTTGGCCCTGAGAATTGTTGTTACTGAAGCGGTTGTTGTAGTTCGAGTTCCTCCAATAACCACCTCCATTGTTGCCATTGTTGTTACCTTGCCTCTGAGCTTGATTATTGCCATTCTGCTTCTTTGGACACTCAAATTTCTTGTGACCAACCTCCCCACATTCAAAGCAAGTAAGCAAATCTCCATTGCAGTTGCGTCCTGGATGACTCTTGTCACATTTACGACATGGTCGGTTGCGAGATCCTTGCTGATTCTGTTGTCCTTGGCCCCGGTGGTTATTGCTTCGATTGTTGTTGTCACGACCTCCCTGCTGACCATTTCCATCGTTCCCATTGCTATTACCCCCGAGTCGTGGTCTTTTATCATACCCTTGATGGTTCGATGAGCTCTCACCATTCCCCTTCCTCTTGTGCCTATCCTTGACCTCCTGCTCTCGCTTCAAAATCCTTTCGATATTGCAAGCTCTATTGTAGGCCTCCTTATATGTAGCAGCAGTACCAGCCCCAATCACCTTCTTTTGGATCCTAAAAGTCAATCCATCTTCAAACTTCTGAGCCTTGGATCTCTCATCAGGCACTACATTAGGACAAACCTAGCATACTCATTGAATTTCTCAGCATACTCCTGCACACTCATACCAACAGTTTGGTTAAACCTACTGAACTCGCTGTACTTCTGTCTCCTACTATGTTCAGGGAAGAAACGATCCCTGATTGCTTTCTTAAAAGCCTCCCAATTAAAATTTTGTTGAGCTCTTATGGTGGCTCCTTCATTTTCCCACCAAATATCAGCAGCCTCACGTAAATAGAATGTGGCTTGGTCCACCTTCTGAGCGTCAGGGGTACCGGCAGCAGTAAAAATCTTGTCAAAATCACGTACCCAGTTCTCAACCAACATGGGATCTTCCTTCCCCATAAATAGTGGAGGTTCCAATGCAGCAAGTTTCTTAGCCATAGCAGCTTGAGGGTCGTTGTCATTGTTGTTGTGGTTGTTGTTGTTCAGCTGGTTTTGCAACAACATTCCAAGGTTCTGGTTCATTTGCTCAAGAGCTCTCAACCTTGCAGCAAGTTGTTCGGGAGTCTCGGCCATTTGTGCAGTTCTTCTCGAACGAGACCTAGTGTAAACGTTGTAATTTTGCATACATAATCTGCACAATTTCAACACTGGTGTTACCACCATACACATTTTAACACGATTTATTTAGATCGTGTGAATTGCAATTAAATTAACAACCACATTCTTTTATGTAACACATCATTAGTACATATATACAAGAATTAAGCATTTATTAAATCTCGATAACATTCATAGAGTCGGCCAATTTCCAAAACAAATAATGCATCAACTTAGCATTAAACTATAGGTTCGCGCATTGCTCTTGTGATCCTACTATACTCAACCCCGTCATTACTATACTTGACTAAAGTAAGCACAAGAAAATAGGGGTTTTGTTTTATACAAATGCAATAAAAATGAAATTATTACTACTTTATTAAGTTAATTAATAATCATAAAATAAAATATCATAAATATGCTTATCGAAAATATTTTAATTGCAAAAATCAAGACAAAATGAAAATCATCTTTAAAGTAGCACACTAGCTAGTGTTAATTATTTCGATAAACTACTAGTTGCAAATAAACGAAAACTACATTATAGTTTCTAATCATAATAACTAGCTTTATTTGTAAAGGTATTATAAAATTATTAGATAAATGCAACTAAAAATTTTCAATCATCATTTTCCCCTTGACTCTCACGAGCTTCATTTTCCTGAGGCTCCTCCTCCCCATCATCATCCAAGTTATAGTCATATTCCCGCTTAGCTTCCATCATTGCTCTCTCCAGGTATTCCATAGTAAGGATCCATCTTCCATTATAATAATATTTATCATTTGGTTGACCTTCAATATATAAATCAGCATACTTCTTCTTAAGTTGAGAATAGGGTCCCCTCACACATAGTGTGTGTAAAAGAATTTGAGATCGTCTCTCCGGAGTGAGGTAATCGGATTGGCCCTCAAGTACATTGTAATGAAAATGTTCAATGCAAAGATTCAAACGGTAGACATAATGTCGAATGTCTTTATTATA